AATTCTTGTCCTCTCTATAAAAATTGCCAATTCAACCTGACCTTGTTGGTGATTTTCAAAACTCAGCATAGTAACAATTAAGCAGAACTTCTGATGCTCTCACACCTGTCTTTTTCTGACCCCTGTGTCCAGTTATACATTGACTGAGGTTCTGCTTAGCAGCTAGGTTCCTCTGTCCTTGCTTGTATCTTTTGGACATTGGTTCAGAACTAGTCTGCTGTGGGACACCATTATTGTTCACTCTGAAATCTAAAAAAACCCTTAAATCTTGTTCTGCCTTACTGCTGGCAGGTTCTGTTCATCGCTGCCAGAGTCCCTCAGCATATGTTCCAAATGTGCTTTTTCTTTCTTGAAGTTTTGTTGTGTTGAGAAGGCAGTGGAGCAAGGCTGCTCGTCTGAAGGAAATGACTGAGTACTCGAGTCACTGCCTGAGTCATTTTAACAGGAGGTAGCTGAAAGGAACTTGCTGCCCTGGCTACAGTCCGCTTCCTGCATGTGGCAGACACCCGGGGTAGTCCTGCAGAGCTTAGAAAATGCACAAGCCCACCCTCATCCCACCTGCCCCAAAGCTGGTACCTTCTCGGGGGGTGTGAAGAGCAGCCAGCATTGTGTTGTTTCCTTGGCAAGCATTTCCACTCAGCCATTTGTCCCAGTGCATAAGTAACATGGCAAACCTGGCAGAAAAATGACTTCTGAAAGATGAAATCTTCAGCACATTTTAGAAACTTGATGTGTTTTAAGTGGTTGCTCCAAACAGATTCAGCGCAATAGTAGTTCTTTACTGGTAGGAAACGGTTTTAGAGTTACTGCTGAAAAGGAGGATTTCCTTAGCAAAGTTAAGTAAAAGTTCGCAGTGAGTTAAGGATCTAACAGTCACATCTTCTGACATAGAACATGGGTTTATTAAGTTAAAAGCCAGGATTCATGCAGGAGTTTCCATTTGCGCCTTACAGAAGGAGAGGTTCTACGAGGGGCATTTTGTGTTGGCAACACCATCGTGCAAGGAACTAGCTGACCTGATGAAACAGTGCATGAACTACGATGCCCATCAGAGACCCTTCTTCCGAGCAATCATGAGAGACATCAACAAACTGGAGGAACAAAGTAAGGCCTGGTTTTGCTTAACCAGCTGGAGGGAGGGATAAAGAAGGCTGGTTTATTTGGCTAAGTTGGGCACTTGTGGCAGCATTCTTGTGTGCGTATGGTTGTATTGACAGGAGCATTTGTGTCCCTATGACAATGGACATAACCTTCTCTATAGATGAATGCAAGTAGGATGCGAGTGTTTAATTCATGCTGAATATGGGTCTTAAGTTATGTTGGTGTTACTGCCATTTTATTCGATAGTCTGTATTTTATACAACAGCTTAAGTGCGTTTCAAGACAATGTTTGAGCTCTTTGAGATTTCCATAGGGCTCTCTTGACCAAATCAGAGCATTAACACAAGTAACTCTGATTCCTGGTTCATTTTCTGTTGAAATTACTACAGAGCAACTAACAGATCAGGGTGTAGTAAGGGCAAAACTTGACTTCCCATAACTACTGTAAATAATCATGGAAGCTGACTAACTACTACAGGGTGGGAAGTATATTGAGAGAAAACTGAATCAGAGTCTGGAAGAAGACCCAGTGAGCAACCCACAGAGTGAGGGAGGAAGATCAGCAAGTGACAGACTGGCGCATACAAATGGAAGGAATTCCCTGTCAAGGAGGAGGCAGGATTTAAATAATAAACGTGACAATAAGGACAGACATACTCTAACACTAACAGCTGCAGATTGGAAGTGAGCAAGGATGCCTTGAAGTGTCAAGACCATGGTGTCCTGACAGGAATCTGTTTGACCTGAGACTTTTTTTCCACTCTCAGATCCTGATATTGTCTCGGAGAAGAAGCCTTTTACAGAGGTCGATCCCACGCTCTTTGAAAAACGATTCTTGAAAAGAATCCGTGATTTGGGAGAGGTAAGAGCAATGGCAGATGCAGAACACAGGTAGGGGTTTGTGTGTGTGCATACACAGCTGTCTGTCGGCTTTTTGAATGTCACAGCAGGAAGATGTGAATCGTAAATGCCTAAAATAGTGCTTCAGTGACACTGTGGTTAGTGAGTGTGTGTTAAATCATCTTCTTTGTGTGTTTTCTTTTCTTTTACAATTAGGGCCACTTTGGCAAGGTTGAACTCTGCAGGTATGACCCAGAAGGCGACAATACAGGGGAGCAAGTGGCGGTTAAATCTCTAAAGCCAGAGAGTGGAGGGAATCACATCGCTGATCTCAAGAAGGAAATAGAAATCTTGAGGAATCTTTATCACGAAAACATTGTCAAATATAAGGGAATTTGCACAGAAGATGGTAAATCTTCCTGTAGAATACTAAAAGCATACACTAAAAGTATAAGGCTTTTCCTTTAAAAATTAAGCATTTTAAACAGTCTTATGGGTTTAGGTCTCTTTCTTCATGGAAGAAGCAGCAATGTATCTCTGAAGTCCTCCTCGTGCCCATTTTTGTGCTTGGCTAACCTGGATGGGAGCAATGTGGTTGATGTTCTCACCAAATCCATTAAAAGACATGAGCACCTGGGCGGGCTGGTGGTCTCTGTGTTCCAGGAGCGAGCTGACCATTGCAGCCGGGTCATGGCCCCATAAACCCAGAGGTCATTACTAGAAGCAGATGTTATTATTCTTAGAAAAAAGCTCTATTGCCTTATATTGTTGTATTTGCAGTAGTGATTGTTCTAAGCTAATATTTAAAAACTTTAAGGACTTAAGTTCAGTAACTGTGCTCCCTGGAAGGGATTCTCCTCTGGGTTGGTTCAGTGACTGATAATGGGAGTTAGTCCATAGTCTGGCCATGGTCATGCGATATCGTTTCAAAGGCTACCAGTGCTGTGGGCTTGTACAAAAGATACTGGTGTTAATGACACGAGAAGGGTCACATGTCTGCAAATTAAACACACGCTCTGTTTTTAGGAGGGAGTGGGATTAAACTCATCATGGAATTTCTTCCTTCTGGGAGCCTAAAGGAGTATCTCCCTCGGAACAAGAACAAAATCAATCTCAAACAACTTCTGAGATATGCGGTTCAGATCTGCAAGGTAAGCCTGGCACCAGAGCCTTCCTGCAACTCTTCTGTTTGATTAGTTCAGTATTTAATTTAATAGAGTGAGGGGGAGAGGAGAGGCTGGCTTGATGAACAAAACCATTCTCCTTTCCGTGTCCCCAGGGACCTGAATCCTAAAGCACTCTCTCCTGTGCTTCAGGTGCTGCTGGCACAAAAATCAGCAAAGGAATAATTACCAGGTTCCCTTGCATAAAAGTTAACTATGAGAAGTTGTTCCTACTGCAGAATTTGAAGTATAAGGAGGGAGGACAGCATTTAGAAAATGTGTGTTGGCAAGAGGGAAGGAGCAATGTGCAAGGCTAAAGCGGTGAAGAGAGGCGAGGGCAGAGTGCAGTCGGGCCTTGTGAAGCAACGTGCTTTCTGCAAGAGACTGTGGTTTTGTGATCACGGTGTACCGGGCAGCTATAAGAAGCGTAGAGACAGACTGTCAGTTTTAGCAGCACACAAAGGAACAGTTGCTGTGGAGAGAAGGATCTGAAGATGGTGGCTGCTCAGCTGAAATTAAAAAAGCACAAAGCTGAAACAACAGTCTCAACAGATGTAGAACCCAAAGGCTGAGTTTAAGGGTGGGGGGGTGTCAGAAAAGGACCCTGGAAAGTGCCAACAAACGGAGAACCTGCCATGGGAAACCTGGATAGAGTATTACCTCATGAACAAGGGAGCATTTGAAGGGGAAGCTGGAGAAAAACAGTGACTTAAATGTTGGAGAAAGTAGTATAAAGACTTTCTTCTTTCTTAGGGAATGGACTATTTGGGCTCCCGTCAGTACGTGCACCGTGACTTAGCAGCAAGAAACGTCCTTGTTGAAAGTGAGAACAGAGTGAAGATTGGAGACTTTGGCCTCACCAAAGCAATCGAGACCGATAAGGAGTACTACACTGTCAAAGATGACCTCGACAGCCCTGTTTTTTGGTAGTAACTTAAAACTCGTTTTCTTTAACAAGACTGTGCAGCAGAGTAACTTCTCTGTTCCCATAGATGTAGGCTTTTAGGCATCCTAAAGATTTTTCCTGTTTTGATAAGAGGCCTAAATAAAGATACAGCATCAGAGCAAGGAAGAGGCACCTGATAGACAACACTTATCTGCTCTTGTGTGGTTTATTTCTTCCTGCACTTAATGATCCATTTTCCTACAGTTTTGGTTTTGGTCTCCTTTAGTTTCGCAGTGACTTGCTGTGTAACAGTTGTACCTTATTTACTACTTCTGTGGCACGTGAATTTGCATGCAAGAGCTCTACAAACGCAGAACCTGCCTCTTTAGTTTGCTTTAAATGTGTATGGGTTGTGCATGTATGAGTAGATCTGTGCAGCTCTGAATTAAGTTTGATGCTGTCACGTTGTGTCCACAGGTATGCGCCAGAATGCTTGCTTCAGAGTAAATTTTATATCGCCTCGGATGTCTGGTCGTTTGGGGTGACGCTCTATGAACTGCTTACCTACTGTGATTCGGAGTCCAGTCCCATGGCAGTAAGTGGTTGTGAAAGAAATTTCTGCTAAAGCTGCTGAAAGCAGATTTAAGGAAAAAAAAAAAAAAGTTTAATTATTTTTGGAAACAAGAAGTGGAGTGAATCTCTTTGTCTTATGAAAACCACTCTCGTGGTTGTCTTTCACTAAAGACCCTGTACAGAGATAAGTTGTGGTGACTGCGTGTCCTGGTGAGGAAACTGTATTTATGAACATTACTATTGGTTTTCTAATATGAGTATATGGAGCATGGTATCTGTGTGATAAGCATCTACTGTTTGTTTTCATTTTGAGATTCAGATGTCATCTTAATGCCAAATTGCAGTGGCCTGGATTTGAGCAGGGTAAGAGGATGCACAGCTGACTCCTGCTCTTTTCACAGGAGTTCTTGAAAATGATCGGCCCCACGCAGGGACAGATGACAGTAGCACGGCTGGTGCGTGTCTTGCAAGAAGAAAAGCGTTTGCCACGTCCACCCAGCTGCCCAGAGGAGGTAACGGATACGCCTATGCTTTTATAACCGTGTCCTGCCATTGTAAATAATTAGCAGCAAAAGCATCACACGTTCATGGCTGAATAGGCCTGGCTAGTCTTGATACGAAAACCTTCAGGTATGCTATTAGAAAGGGATTTCCAAGTTTTTTAAGCATTATTTTAAAATGTTCTTTGACATTGACGTTCCCAAGTTCATGATGTCCCTTCCAGAGGGGTTAAGAGCTTTGCTTGAGTATCGGGATCCATGTAAAATTCATTCAGAATCATTCTGATTTTTGAAATACAGAGTTGCGGCTTGTGCAGCAACCCAGACTGAGACGCACCTCAGCAGGGTCTCTGTTAGCAGACCCCAACGCACAGCCTGTCTTCTCCTGCCCTTGGAGGAGCCAGGAGACAGCCAAACCCTGCCCTGGGAATGGGCTGTAGACCCACAGGCAGGGCCGCGAGCCCAGACAAGGCCATAGGGCGGCGAGTTCTGTCTGCATGTGTGGCAAAAAAACCCAGTGGTAACAGATACTTGCCAATTCTGATCAAAATCTGAGACACGTTTCTGTCAGTGTTCATCATTTCATGGTAGCGAGCATCTGCTCCATTGTATTTACAGAATCACAGAATCATTAAGGT